ACCTGGACCCTTGCAGCCACACCCAAGAGAAGACTCAGATCGCTTCCCTCTTTGTGGGCACTCAGTAGAGGGAATGGGAGAGAATTTTTTTTTAAAAAGATCTTACTACATGCAATTTAGGAAACAGATGGAATGCACCCCCCCCCCCATATATTACCCATTCTAGAATATGACTGTTATGGAGTTTTATTTTTAAATACCCCACTTTTGATAGTTCTAGACTCCGAATTCGGTTTGACTAAATTCTGGAATGAAACAAGCCAAAGAATTAAACGACGCGGACAGAAAACTTCCCTGAAAATAATATGCAAAAGATGAATAGGTATGCGCGAAGTGCAGCCATTGCAATAACAATAGTTAAAAATAATAATAATAATAATCTTGGCCACCACCCCGCCGGAGATATTGGACTCGTATATCTTTCCTCCTGTCCTCGTCAGAGAGAGATAGACAAAACTCTCCAGGTCCCAATAACCAACGTCTGAACGTTGCAAGCGAGTATCTTTACCGCCGCCCACTTTGCGTCTCGGCGCCTGCGCTCTCTGATTGGTGGAAACGGAGACAAAACCTAGGAGAGTGTCAAATAGCAACAGACCGAGGCCACGTGACGGCGCGCGCTCCCATTAGGCCGGGGCTCCCTTCCAATCAGCGCTGAGAGGTCGGATTCAAATTGGGTCGGGTGCTGTGTTTCCTTCACGGCAGTCGGTTAGTGACGAGCTCTGGGGCCGGAGGGGGGAATTTCGTTGTGGTCGCCGCCGCCGCCGCCGCCATTCCTCTCATAATGGCTCATAAGCAGATCTATTATTCGGATAAATACTTCGACGAGAACTACGAATACCGGTACGAGAATGGGGGAGGTTCGTTTGTGCCGGGGGGAGGGAAATGGCCGGAGTCGGCTTTGGATCAATTTGCCTTTGCTTGAATATAGAAAAGCGAAACAACGAGCGCTTGGCCGCCTCAGGTTGTAACAAAAAGGAGAGCTGGGAGAGGGCTTCAGGGGTTATTTATGCCGGTGAAAGGTGGCATCAATGCCCACCAAAATCATCTTTATGCGTAGAAGCCGCCAGCAAAAGAGCTGAGGCACTGCTAAAATTCAGTAACCGCCTGTTGTTTTCATACACTCGACCTCTGAGGGAGTAACTTTTCTCCCTTTCCACCCTGAACTCTTTATCCTGACCGCAGCTCTGGGAAAAAATATAGAAAAGAAAAGAATTGGCTGATCCAGGGTTAACTCTCGGGGAAACCTAGTCGCTAAGTGGGCGTTGGCTGCACGAATGGTTCTTTCTTGCTCATCTTCTAGATTTGGAGAAATTGCATGATTGTATATGGTATGAATATTGAAGACTTGTCTGTGGCACTGGAAACTTAATGTAATATTTCATACTCCTTTGAAAGTATCTGAATGCTGCCATTGTTGATTAGGTAACTTCAGCTGAAGTAGGATTCTCAAGAATTTCGATCACTTCCAAAAAGCAGTGGATTTTTATAGGAGACTTTATTTTGCTTGTGACTGGGTTCATGCGTATGGAATCAAAACTAACCATTTTATGTGTGAGTTTGATGTATACATTTTAACCGTGATAGGCATGTGATGCTGCCAAGAGAGCTCTCAAAGCAAGTACCAAAAACACATCTAATGACTGAAGAAGAATGGAGAAGGCTTGGTGTTCAGCAGAGTCTTGGCTGGGTCCACTATATGATTCATGAACCAGGTAAAACAAATGCAGATGTTACATTTTTAGAAAATATTTCCCTGTAGATTTCACTTTGCAGTGATGTGAATGGGGAGTGTTAGTGCATAACTTATTAAAGTGTTTGCTGATTTCATTTGTGGTCAACATTTCCCCCCCCTTCTGTCATCTGGGAATTAAAGGGAAAAATGCAAATGTATAGAGTCCTATGTCAATTGAGCTAAATTGTATAATTCTTGCTTTGGAGAAATAAACTTAGTTGTAACATTGTGGTACAAAAAAATATTTTAATACATTTTGTTTAGCGTGCTTACTCGTGTCTTTTAATGTGAAATATTTAGTTGTGATATGACTTCACAATTTATTTTGAACATGTTGGACTATAGCCTTAGGTTACAACATATTTGAAAGGGGATTATCCTTCCCAAATCAGTTACAGTGGCAGTGATAAAGAGATGGGCTTAATCAGCATGAATCACAAGTTTAAGCTTTCACGACAGTCATAACTTTCTATTTTTCTCTTGCAGAACCACATATCCTTCTTTTTAGAAGACCACTTTCAAAAGGCCAACAAAAATAACTTCTCTAAATTTCTGAAATTTTATGTACAAATGTATATATGTTGGTAGTATTCAGTGAATACTTGAGAAAAATGTACAAATAAGTCATTACCTGTGCATGAGCTGTATTATTCACAGCAACAGAGCTCAGTAAAATGCAAAGTTAAGTTGGCTGCTATGATCTTGGACTCTCATTGTTAACAAGTGCCTATTTGCTCTTGTCAATTTTGTTCAATAAAGTTTACAACTTACATGTAATATGTTGATTATAAAATCTTCAATGATCTTTGGTTTATATTAGCAATGTATAACTGTTAGAGCAATTCATCCTGTGGCTTTTCAACTCCTAAAATAAGTGATGAAATAAACCTGTTTTTAAAATTAAATCCTGGTATGCATTTCATGGATTGTAATTTCTGAATCTAATTTCCATACAGTATAAGAAAAGCTATCAAAAATTTTTAATAACTGCCAGCTTATTTCTCTGCCTATAGATCTGAGATTTTCTAATAGATCAGCTAGTCATAAATAACCACCTGTGAAACAAAATTATCCATCTCTCTCAAAAGAGTCAGGCAAAACCTGTTGACAAATTCATACTGATTTGTGTTAATAGCTTGTTTTCAAATTGCTTATGGATCAATTGCTCTGTTATCTCTAGAATCGTCCCCAATATTGATGTTAGAGTAAATCTTACTGTTCCTGGAAATGTCTTTCCTTTTTGAAGTATTTTTCCTTTCCTTTCTAATTGGGGTGGTCTGTTTCAGTACTCTGGCATTTTCTCAAGGATAAATATTTGGCCAGACTACTGTAAATAAATTCTCTAGGATACAATTCATCTGACCCTGCAGATTTAAATGCACAATCACCTTATTTATCAACCTCATACTTCAACAGGCTGGAAGACTGAGCTGAGAGTAACAAGATATCTTTTAATACAGCTAAGTGTAGTATAATGTAAGTATTACATTTAGAGATGGAAAAACCTAGGACCTACATATATAACATAGGGAAATAATAGTTTGGAAACACTGCATTTCAGCAGGACTTGGGTGTGGTCATTGGCAAGATGAGTCAGCAGTATGATACACCCATTAGAAGATAGGTAAGAGACTTGTCTTGCATTATAAGAATTGTGTTAAGGGTGCATGAAGTCCTTCCATTTGGTACTGGTTGCAGTCACATCTGGAATTTCATGTATGATTTAGATGTCTACATTTCCTGAATGATACTGATAGGTTATTGTACGGTAGGTGTGTCCAGCCCACAGGTTGGATGTGGTCCTGGATAGCTACAAGTTTGTAAAGTTTTATAATGTGTGATTTTTTTTGTCACATACTTTATATGCAGCCTGAGACAAAGGCCAAAAGGTTGGCCAGCCATGCTAGAAAGCAGGGGTGTCAAACTCCACCTTGTTGTGGGCCTCATCAGGAGGTTTTTCCCCTTGGGGTGAGCAGGGGGGCCTGGTCATCACAGCTGAGTGGGTGTGGCCGGCAGGGGCTGGTCCCTCACCATCTCTGGGATGGTCTCACTGGGAACTATGCAGCCTATCACATGCCGAATTTAGCTCACTGGCTGCATGTTTGACACATCTGCTATAAAGGATTCAGAGGAGATAATGAAAATTGCATTGAGATGTGAATGCAATTATGAAAATAGGCTGAAGGAACTTAAGTTATCTGGGATGGGGAGAACCAAGGGAGGCATGATAGTTTAGAACAAAAAGAAAAGTCACTGAGATGTTTGAAAACTTTCATGACCACAGAAAATGACCAGGAATACTATATAGCTACCTATATATTTAAATACAGCTTTACAATAGTGGAACAGGCTCCTTTTGGAGATTGTGAGTTCTCTACCTATGGAGATTTGTAATAACTGGGCGGCTATTTCTCATGGATGTTTTATAGTTTTTCTGCATATCACACAGGGCTGGGTTTAATTGATCTTTATGGTCCCTTCCAACTTTACATTCCATGATACAGTCCTAAATCTTCAGAGCATGCTGATAGAACATCCTTTTCTAAAATGAGAGAACTGGCACTTTTTTGTGTTAAGTGTTGTTTTCTCCCAGCATTTGGAATACTGATTCCCTTTTCTAAACCAACCTTTATGTAGTGTGCCTGTATTGACAGTATAATGAATTTTTATTATGGCTCAAGTTCCTATTTCTCTAGAACTGATTCAATACTTCACAAATCAATGTGACTGCATGTAAACTGCATGGCAATTTAAGCCTTCCAAATAAAACTTTGAGTATACACTTAAAATACGTGCAGTGCCTTTAATAAGGCAATCAGGTTCCCAAAACGTCTTCTGCTTAGAAAATTCAACATAACTATAGATGAGATCTTACTCGTACATAGTAGTATAGGCTTGCGAAAAATCAAGCGTCAAATGAAAGAGCAGCTTCCCAGGGCTATTCAAATATACAGGGTTGTGTGTGACTTAATTTTGAAGCGTCTACTGAAATAAACTTCCAGAAAAATTGGATAATAGCGTTGTATTGTAGCCAAGGTTTCTGTCACTTCCTCTCGGAGATTGCATAACAAAAGCTCTCACAATGGCCTGTTCTACCGGTTCCCCTCCCTGGATGCAGCTTCCCTCCCGGCCAACCACCACCCGGCACGACTTTCTCGGGAGACCCTTCGAATACTTCCGCTTGCAAGCTTCTCTTTGCCTCTAGCGTCATGACGACCGTCATGTGATGAATACGCCGCTGCTGATTGGCCGTGAGCCCGAGAGGCTCCGGCGTCGCTTCCACGACGGCTTTTGTGCGCGCCAGCTGGGTTTGTGGTGGAAGGGAGGGTAGAAGTTGCCGTTAGCGAGGCATTGACCTTTGCTTGCCCCTTTCTTTTTCTCCCCCGCCATGACTTCAGAACGGGGAGCGGGCAATGAGGTAAGCGGGGAAACGGCGGTCAGGCTGGGTCTGCGGAGAACTAAAAATAAAGACCGGCTTTTCTTTAGGTCGCCCTGGCCGTTGTTATGTAACCGGCAGCGAGAACTACCACCCCAACCCTGTAAAGAGAAAGAAAGGAAAACCTCTGAGGTTTCTTCTCGGTAAATCACGTCGCTTGATTTACGACGGGAGCCTCGAAATGAAGGTGTAGAATAGATGACAGTCTTTTCAATTCCGGTGGGGGAGTCCTTCCTTTTCTGCAAGAAGGAAAAGAGCAAATACACAGCAAATACAAGCGAAGTTCTGGCCCTTCGGAAAGGCACATCTCGAGTGTGTTTTGGCAGCGGAAAGTCCGAAGCCAAACATTAAACCATAACGTTATTTTCCTTTCATATCAACAACTTATTTGAACACAAACAGGGGTGCTTATTAACCATGCCTTACTGTTAAAATATTCTGTGAACGTAGCCAATATACTGTAAACATCATTACAGGAAATTAATGCCATTCCGCTTCCAAGGTGGCTAAAATTAAAACGAATCTTGCCTATGGAATCTTTTTTCAGTAGTGTATGGCTTTGCATGTAATGTCTGTTCTCTAAAGCAATGATAGAGTTGTCATTTCTCTCCGTTTGTTCGTTTTTCAAGGACTGTCATTTTAATGACAAAACTTCCCCAAAAAAGCTAAAGTTCAGGAGCCAGTCCTTTTTCCAATAAAAGCAACCTATTTATTTTATTCAGTGAATATATTATCTGACTTTCAAGACTTGTCTCAGAGATAATGTAAGGTACCTTACAATATAGAACAGTATTGTAATTTTATTTGTAAATGTAAATCATTTTAAATAAGATGAATTAAAACAAGCAAAACAGCTTCCTGAAATTGAGCTCAACACCCAGGAATTACATCATGTGCAACAATATCATTTTCTTGATATTAATATAGACTGTAAATGGTTTGCCGTTGTCTTCCAGAATTTTAACCTAGGTTCTGCCGCTGGTTAAAAGGAGTCTAATTGAAAATATTGACACAACTATTTAAAGGGGCAGGGAGAGAGAATGATAGCAGTTACTTTAGAAAGTGTGAAACCTGACATTGGACTTTTCTGATTACTATTTAATCTGTAAAAAACATTCCTTATGTAGCAGGTACTTCTTTTAATGATTACAAATACAACAGTTACATTTTTTGTCCACTTATGACCAAATTGTGTGTCTGACAATAATATATATATAGAAGATTATTTAAAATAATATATTGGTAGCCAAATTAAAACTAGATGATGCAATAGGTCATTAGTATTGCTTCTTAGTGAATAAGCTTATCTGCATTTACTAGCTTTTCTCCTGAGAGCAAAGTGCATCCAAGAAAAAGTATTCTCTGCGTTACTTTTGCCATTAAATTTATTCACATCCTCTGTGGTTAGAAGTGCTAATAATAATCTGTATAATAATTATATATATATATATATATATATATATATATATATAATGTAATAATAATATAATAATAACATAATACAAAACAAGCCAAACACAGTTATTCCACTTAGAGAAAGTGTATGGTTCTATAAGGCTTATTAGAACATATACAAGCACATTAACTGTATATAATGTGATTCCTAACAGAATAAACCAATTTAATTCAACAATATGATTGGGAATGTTGTAGAAGCTTAAGATAACTGTGTCTAATGTCATGGCTCATGGGAATTACAAGTACAGATATGTAATATTTCAGAATGGAGCTGGGCTTGTGTGTGTACACACACACTTTGGTTAAGTTGTATAGTATATGTTTTTTCAGATTTTAATTTATGAATTAGTTATTTCATCCAAAAGATAATTATGATTAGCTACTGGCTGAAAAAAATATGTGATGTAAAGTTGCAAATTTTAATGTATTCAAATTCTCAGAAATGTAAAAAGATATTCAATAGGCATAGTTTAGCTTAATATTTGTGTATATTTCAAATTTTGATTAAATATGCACTTACAAGTAATCAGTATAAATTTGCCAGATTATGGCTACACTAATTGCAAAAATAAATAATTCATATTCTTGACCGAAACCCTTGAGTTTCCTGCAGTGTCTTTAGAAATAACCACTAGAGGGTGCACAGTGAATGGGCATTTAACTGCTAGCTGAATAACTTGCTTCAGTTTGGTTGCTGCTTTATAAATGAAAGTTAACATAGAGCCAATGCAAACACACAAAAGTGTATATGCATATTATTATTTTCTGCTCAAATCAACCTACTGCAGGTTAAAGTTTTTTTCACTGATTGTTACAGATTATAATCTACTGTGATGGTCTAGTACGAATTGATGGATTATTTTTTTTAACTGCCCCAACTAGGAGTGAAAAAGAGTGACTGGCCCAAAGTTACCTGGCAGCTTCTTTGCTTAAAGGAGGATTAAATTTCCCTACTTCCTGTCCAGCAGCTTAACTGCTACACCATGCTGATATTCTCTTTCTCTCTACATATATAAATATGCATACATAGACATAGATATATATGCTAGGAGTGTGTAATGAGATCACGTTTCCTCTTTCACAAACTTCTTTAAATTACAGCTGACATTTAAATTTGTAATGTAAGACGGTAACTGGGGTAAAAGGATAGTAGGGAAATTCCTGCAAAAGAAGAGAGATTGCAGGAAGGAAGAAACTCCCTAAAGCCTATAGAAAGTCTTTTAACTTAATTTAATAGCAAAGATAGAAAAATTCTGTGTCTCTACTGCCTGTAATAACTTTGCTGCTGCTTGTAATTATTCAGAGATAATTGAAATTGATAGAAAAGCATATTTTGTATTCCTTGCAATATACAATTATTCCATGCTTATAATATGTATGTGTATGTGCGTATTTTTAAAGCAAGTATTTGCTTAAGCCATCAAATTACTGGTGCTGTTTTGAATATACAGTTGGCATTTTAAAATCTTCATTCTTGCTTGAGGAGTAGAAGAATCATTTTCTCTCATGTACATGCACAGTGTTTTTAACTGATTGTGGATAATCTGAAAGTATATGTAATCAAAACTTATTTTGTATATCAGGGCATCAAGTTATCAGCAGAGGTTAAACCATTTGTCCCCAAATTTGCAGCAGTAACAGTGGCATGGTCAGAACCCTCAGAAGCATGTGTCTTTCCTGGATATTATACAACATGCTACCCATATGTTCAGGAGCCATCAGTAAATAAGTATGTACCCTTTATGTCTCATTTTTGAGGAAACTATTAACTTCCCAAGATCTTGAATTTGATTTTCTAAGTAGTTTGGTAATTATATTTATTGGTTATTGATTTAAGCAATGTATATGGCTCCCCATTTCAACAATTATTCTGAGTGATGTCATTGAAATGTTCCTTCAGTATTTTAGGTTACAGTAATGAAACACTTCAAAGTTGATGAGTGACTTAGGGCTTTTTCTCATCCCTAAATGCCTTACTTTTATTATCTATGGAATAATAAGAACAGAGTTTAAATGGAAAGAAGAGAAGAGAATTAAGGATAAAGAAAAAAAAGTTTGAGATACCAGTTCCTTTTTTGTTAGATTGTTTTGCTGTTGGAACAAAATTATAACTTATCATTTAATTATTAAAGGAACAATCTTATTTATATAAAATAATTCATTTCTAAAAACATAGATAAATGTTGATACTTTCACAACTTGTGATGTTCATTATAATGTTCTGTTATATGTTGATCAGAAATCTAAACATTAATGCTAGCATTTAGAACTAAAATATTTTCCAACGATTCTTTTTGTAAATCAGCTTTCATTCCATGAGATTAATTTGTCAAAAAATTCTTAGCAAAATAAAACCAACTGATTTGTTACAGCTTTAGAAAGCCATGTTTCTGCATTATAACAATTGTTTCACAAATTGTTTCATTTGAATACCACACATACTAAGATATAAAATAAAAACATACTTGTACAGTGGGATATAAAATGTTGATGTGTTTGAGTAACCTATTCCGCTAAAAATCAATATGTTTATTCTGTTTAAGACAACAGCTATATATTGAAGAAGTACCGTGGGATACCTCCACCTGTCTTTCTCAGCATGGATCTCAAAATCTTACAGGATGTACTTCTCTTGCGGAGTACAGCAGTCCTCCTTATTCACTTACTGCCGCACCAAGAACACATGCAGTTTCCAGCTTCCAGAGTCAGAACATTTTTACTAAACAGGGTAAAGAGTTCACCAAACAGACTTCTTTGATCAGAAAACAATGTGCTACTTTATCCAGGGTAAGTGATAACCGCTTAGACAGCTGTTTTCTGTTCTTTCTCTATTCTTCTCGCTTCTTGCTCTTCATTTCCAAAGAAGGAGCTAATACTATTGAATATTGCCAACATGAGAACCTGTGGTCCCCATTCTAGCATGCTTTTTGATCATTAGCTGGCATTGGATTCACAAGTACTGACTGCAATAAAGAGCAAGATTGTACAAATAGATCCACTGTTTTAGCTGTGACCTTTCCTGAGAAAAATCAGATGTGGTAACCCTTGTTCATGCTTTGTATTTCAATGCATCTATTACAAAGAGCACTATAGATAGTCCTCGACTTACAGCCAAACTTTTGGGATCAGAACTTTCATTGCCAAGCAGGGAAATTGTTAAGTAACTGGCACTCAATTTTACAACTTTTTTTTTGCCCCAGCTATTAAGTAAATCACCCCAGTTGTTAATTTGTATCCCCCGCTGGACTTTGCTTGTTTGAAGTTCCCTGGGAAGGTTGCAAATGGAAATCACGTGACCCTAGGACACTGCAGATATCATAAATACATATAGTTCTGGGGTGTCAAGCTCGATTTCATTGAGGGCCGCATCAGGGTTGTGTTTCTCCTCGGGGGCCAGGGTGGGTGTGGCCAGCTCAACATCGCTCGTGTCGGGTGCCTGTGGTGACCTGAGTACTCTGCCAGCAAAACAGGCTCTCGAGTTCCATTTTCAGCTGCAACGGCCTCCTGCAACCCTCTGCCAGCGAAAACAGAGGACAGAAGAGATGCACGCGGCCCTCCCAAGCTCCATTTTCACTAGCAGAGGCACGGCTAGCCGCTCCTTCGCTGTTTCCAGGGCAGCCCTGTGGGCCAGATCTAAGCACTCCAGGCCTTCAGTTTGACACCCCGATGTAGTTGCCAAGGACCCAAATTTTGACCACATAACTTTGGGGACGCTGTGATGGTTATAAGTGTGAGCATCAATTGGAAGTCACTTTTTTTAGTACCGCAGTTGCTTAAATGAATGGTTGTAAGTCAAGGACTACCTGCACATAGGGTTATCCTTGAAAAAAGTCCAAAAGTTAATACAAAGTGCAGGAGCTGAGCTGAAAACCAATATTTGAATCATATAGCTGGATCTGTATTATTGCAATTTGTTTTCCTAACACAAATGAAGTAGTTAATATTAACAGTTTTTAATGTTTAATTGTTATCTGAGAAATCATCTTTCCCGTATGAACATGTCTGAATATTAAGATCTGAAGAAGAGGCTCATCTGTGTGCCTTCTCTATCTGAGAACCAATTGTTAGATGTATGCAAAAGGGCTTTCTTCTGCATTAATCCCAGGAAGAAATATACTCTCTTGTCAGTGACTTTTCTTTCGGCGTAGTTTGTGTTTTTTCTTTAATGTTCATTTTGTTTTGCATGTTTTAATAACTGTTGAGTATTTGAATAAATGTAAATAATATAAGTGAAATAAACAAGGAAATAATATAGAAAAATCAGCTTGGAATATGTATTGTTTTTCTTCGTTATTTTGTACAGACACAACTGAAAAATAATGAAACTAGATTGGAGGATCAAAGGCCTAATGGAAGTGATTTTACCGGCAGATCAACAGAAAATTCACCTTATATTGCTCAGCATAACAGGAATCCTATTAAATCTGACACACTGACTTACATGATTGAAAAAAAAGAGGCCAGAATACACAGTGAGATCATTTTTAGATTACATATATTATTAAATAATATATTTAAAGATTGTTAAAATTTTCCCATCCATACAGAGAAATTATTCTGAAATGTTCTCTCTTTTGAAACAAAGAAGTTCCTATAGAAGTCTGAGGGGGAAAAAAATCAGACTTTGGATATAGCTAGAACAGGGCACAGTTGTGTGCATCTACAAATTTGACCTAAATTAAATGGGAGGGGAAATGAAGGGAAACAATCTAATTAGAATTGAGCATGCTTAGTGTGGATATAATTATTGGCTGGCTTGGCTGGGGAAAGCGATGAAAATCAAGATAGTATACAGGGTGGTAGAATGCAGCAGCTTGAGTCTTTTAACAGAATAATTTGTTTCAAGATTTGGCCTATATATAATAACTTAAAAATAGTAAACTGATTATAGCTATTGAAAAAGGTAACCATTAGTGTTTACATTTTGTTTTAAATTAGATAGGCCTATTAAAGTTATGAATGGGAAGTTCAACCAAATTCCAAACGCTGAGCATCTACCAGAACCTGCCTTTGAAATGACCTTGTCAGATTTCCCAAAACTCCAAGACCTAGAAAGTAACAATCTCCTGGATCTTCAAAAGCATGCATGGGGGCCAGTGGGCTCAGCAGAAGGAGATAAGCTGCCTCTGACACCTCCAGGAAAACTTGCAATTTCAAACATAACCAAAGAGGTTAGCCACTGGATAGTGTTTGAGATGTTGAAAATAGAGGTGTTGATACGAAACTATTTGCTGATCAGTACAACTGCCAATCTCTATTAAGGAAAAATGAATAGAAATATATTTCAATCAATAATGTCAATTCCATTGCATGTTAGAGAAAATTTGGAACTGAATTCTTAGTTCCCAAGAATGTTCTTCTATGTCTTCTTAAAACGACATTCTGATTATTTTATATATTAGGTATAAAATATCCTTTTCGGGGGTGGTGGTGCAGAAAACTTAGTTTGATTTATATTTATAAGGAGAAAGAGTTGGGTTGGCAACTGAAAATGATTAAACTTTTCTTATTTCACTTGTGTATGTAATAATTTTTGTATGGGTTGGTTTATTTTGTTCTGTAATAATGTTGCCTCAGTGAGAACAATGCATTGAATGCATTAATATAGCTTAAGTTTTGTATTGTCTAGCAGGTAATAAATACACCAAATCATGCTTGCTAAGTAAAAAAATTAAGACAACCATTTTATTGGCCAAATGTGAGTTTTGGCGTATGCTGGTTGTGTTAAATGGGCCTAATAAATTAAATTTCAGCCATAGATTTTTTTCCCCAAAAAAGTTTTGCTCAGTTAAAGGATTTAATTTCTCTAGTCCTTTTTACTCCCCCCACCACTCTTCTATGAGTTTAGCTTCATTTATTTCATACAAATAGATATGAAATTCAGAGTTATGAGTAGTAATGACCAATTAGCAAAATATAAACCACCTATTCCCAACAAATTCTATATAAGAGCCTTAAAGATTTTAAAAATGAAGATTTAAAAAGATAAGATTTTTATGCCTGTCTGGCAAAAAAAAAAACACCTGTATGTATGTATTTGTGTTTTATTTTCAGTGGTTCTTGTAAGTTTGTAAATGAACATAACTAAATATGGATTTTCCATTGTACATAAATTACATACTGGATCCCGAAGAATTCCTTTCATGAAGCAAGATGTTTTCTGCAACAACCGAAACTATTCTGGACCAGTTTTTTATTTTATTATGAACTATTATTTAATTTATTATCATGATGAGCTTTGCTTTCTGATTGACTGAGTAGAGATGCATGTGACAAATTATTTTTAAATTAAATGTAAGTTGTACATATTTTCAACTAAAGGTGTTAATATTTACTCTAGGTTGAAGTATGTCGAAAAAAGCATTTCCATACAAGACCCTTAAGTTCTTCATCAGATCCTGGAGGTAAGCACTACTATCCAGCATAATATAACTTGGCTTCATGTTGATGCTGTATCCTGCTACTTTAGAATTTAAAGCATTAATTCACATTCCAGGTCTTACTTTATAAATATGTGCTTAAAATCCATTCATTCTGTAGATAAAATATCCATACATGTAATTAGTCTGTTTCATTATATACAGTAATCATCGAGGATCTCCTGTTTTCATTTTATACATAAAATACAAATCATGATTTCATATGAGCGGTCCTTAGTGCTCTCTGAGCCTTGTTGTTTTCTTGCAGACATTCATTACCTAAACTATTTAATATACTCAGTACTCATAAGGAGTTGGTTTGCCCTATTGGTGTTGCTTAGATCTGGCCCATGGGGCCACCCTGAAAACAGTGAAGGACCGGCCTGCAAGCTCTGTTTTCGCTGGCAAAGGGTTGTAGGAAGCCATCCCAGCCGAAGCTTGTGAGCCTGTTTCTGCTGGCCAAGTGCTCCCATTGGTGCCTCCAACATGAGTGATGTCAAGATGGTCACAGCCCCCCCTGAGGTCAAAGACAACCCTGATGTGGCCCTCAATGAAATTGAGTTTGACAACTCTGCACTAGAATATAAACTGAGAGCAAACCCACTCCTTACTAGCATTGATGATGTTATCTAGTTTGGGTAACGAAACATTTGCAAGAAAAGAACGAAGCTCAGAGAGCACCAAAGACCCTCATTTCAACTCTTAGTTTATTCTGGTAGTTTGAATAAAATATTGTCTTTCTCAGTTCCTCAGGCACATTCAGGCCTTTTCACTGAGTCACCCTTATCTTGGGCCACGGTGCTTTCACAAACTCCCAAAAAAGTTGTTTCAGTTCCAACTTCAATTCTGGCAAGCAATCATTCTGGAAGTAAAAAAACAGATAATGTTCCTGAGGATTACAAGGTATGAAGATCAGTTTCCAAGCTCTTTTCCTGTTTTATAATCAACCAGAACTTTAGTGAACCTGCAGTATAAAATATTTAAATGCATGGATTTGTAAGAGGAAGAACGATAATTGTGGTAAAAATCAAACACATGAATAGTATTCTTGCTCTGAATTAATAAAATCTATTTCTCTAGAATATTTTTAATAGAAGTGGTATAAAAATGAATATATGAGATTAAGTAACCCACATTTTTCTTTCTTTTTCTGTGCATAATGACTCTCCTGATCAACTTTCATTGATTTTCACTACATAGCTTTTCTTCTATTTATATTTATTATTGAGCATTTATTTATGTAAGATTTATATGGCCGTCCATCTTAAACGTCTCTGGGCAAACTCACGATAACAATAAACCAATAAATAAAATGATCATATTCTGCAATAAAGTCTTGGCTTTTTTTATACCTCTCCTAAGAAATTATTTACTTCTACTTATTCAGCAACCAGAAAGAAGAGAAAATGCAAGTAACCTTGAAGAAACAGCAAATAAAAAGAAGAAGAAAAAGAAGAAAAAGAAACCCAAATCATGCAGTGAAGTTGAGAAACTTCCTATCCAGAGGATTTTAGTTCAAGACCCTCCAAGAATCGAGGTGCTAAAGCTAATTATCTGACTCAATTAATTATTCATTTATGTGTTTGTGAAGGAATTATATCACAATATAATTTGAAGAAATAAAAAGTAATTGATTTAAGTTTCACATAACCATCAAAAATAATATAAATTTTATTTTATGTAAAATAAAAATTAAGCCTAAATTCCAGGTTTTAGTATAAATTTCTTTCCTTAATTATTTAAAATGTTAGGTCCTATTTAAAAATAAAGGATTGCTCTTTTTATTGTACTTTTTAATGCCATGTGTAATAATGATAGTACATAAGTGGAGAAAATCACAACCTTCTTATAAAAGTTATACATTCTACCACTAAGTAGAGAATAGTGTTAAACTCCTGTAGTGTATAATAATACTTTTTCTTTAAGTTTCTAACTTTTGGATTAGTACTGTTTTATAATATCTTTACCAACATTAGGGATTTGTTTTCCTCCTTGAGTGTGAAATAAACAAAGAAATACAGAGACACATACATACACTAAAAGGAGAAGACAAAAGAGAATGGCTTTGCTTAATGCCCTTGGCTTAGTAAAACCTACTGAAAATTCATCTTAAGAGAGTAACTATAATAATAAATTAGAAATAGATTGCTTTATCGCTTACTTCAACTGATTTCAGCTGCACATTCTTAAATCTCTATTGGGATTTCCTCAGAGGGGTGACATATAAGTTTAATAAATAATAGCTTTTGAGAATGGCTTAGTGGCTAGCTCATGTACTTTTGCTTTGTATTTATATTCTGCTTTATAATTCAAAAGCTTTCAAGTACATTATCCTTCATAATTTATCACACAAGACTATTGAAAATATATTTTCCATATTCCTTTAGTTACTAAACCAATATGCCTAGTGGATATATGAAAGATGTGAGATACAATCCTGAGAATTCGGAATCTGAAATTGGAGAGTCTTAGTTATTATGCCAACTTAGTTACTTGATTACCGATATATCTTTAAAATTAGAAATATTATGTCACTTCTCTTTTTAATCACTTCATATAAAAAGCAGGAAAAATACTCAGAACCTAGAACCTGGCATAATACTATAATGAGAGAGAGGGAAAAGGAAGGCTTGCTTCTAGGGAATAGTGTGATATAGCTTAAACCAGAGATAAATAATCTTTGGAGGCCAAGGCCACTGTAGGATAGAACTGTTATCATTCACATGATTAGTCCAGTCCTTTGAACTTCAGTTTGAGCTTCGGTGGTGGTATCATGGAGTTTTTCTGTCTTATGTGTCTTACACCTTTTCTTTTGTGTTTCCCACTTAAAAATTGTAAGAAAACATATAACCAATATTTGCAGCATGATTAGAAAAGACTGTGTAGCTTTGAGAAAGAAGATAGAAGTGGCTTCTATCCTGGTGATATTCAGGGAGCTATTAGGCCTAGCTGTCTACCCAAAACTTGGGGCAGAACAATTGTTGAGCTTCTTTAAATGGGTCTTTTGTTTATATGTTTGTCTTTGAACCACTTGTGATTTTCTTTTGGGTTTTTTTGGGTGGTGGTGGTGGTATTGTTCTTGTTTTAATTTTAAGTGATTTAAAAATCTCAGGAGTTAGAGAGTCTCTGAATTATATCTGTAAATAAATAAATAAATAGTTTCCTACTCTGATCTATTCAGTCTACTTTGATTTACATAGGATATTGAAGAATTCCCAGATTTAGCAGCTGCTTTTGACAGAAAACATAAACAGGCAACTGAAAGTATTCCTTGTTTAACACCTATTATTGAGAAGACTAAAGTAAGAATTATTATTTGTCTCTATTTTCACTTTTAAATGGGTATTCATTATTTTTATTTTTAAAGTATATTTATTTGTTTTATTATAAAAGGTAAAATATAACATAGAAAAATAAATAAAGCAAAAAAAAAAGCATATATCCAGTACTGCTAACAACAAAAAAGAAAAAATGGCATACAAAAAAACTATGATCCAATACCCAGTAAATTTAACATCATTTTTATTTTTTTTAATGGCTGGGGTTTATTCCTCTTTCATTTCAAATCGGTCTGAGCACTTTGCTCAAGTGTATTAAATATCATGAAAAATAAATGCAGTGAACTTCATTTATCAGTCCACTGATAAATAATATCAGTCATAATAGAGGAATTGGGAATAAAAATAAGAGGAAGACACACACTGACAGAAGTTTCCTTTGTCTCCACTGCAATCCAGTGAACAGGAAGGTGATATGACACAAAGTACCAGCATCATCTTTCTTAACCAAAATTCTTGAAGGCTGTAAACAATCTTCATATGGTTTCTTAGAATATAAAAATAATAGAGAGCTGCAGTGTTAGAAAATAACCTTGGAAAAACATCCTTGCTGGTTTGCATTTTCATAAAAGGATGTCTTGCTAGATTTTATGGTTGGTAATTTTGTGAATAGGCAAGTACCCATGGAAGATATTTTATGAAACATACACCTTATGGTCTCAAAACTGCTTCCTGGCTCCCAATTTATTAGGAATGGCTGCCCTACACACATTAGAAAAGCTTTGGTAATTACTTGTACTCAAAGTTGTTTGTTGATGATAACATCTCCATGCATGCAAGTTGGGATGGACATATGGCACAGATGGACATATATCACATATGGCACAGAGAGAGATGTGAAACTGAAGAACGGAAGCAGGAATAGATGCACATGTGAAAGCATTCATGGAATATCACTTGAATCCAAACCTGTCATCATACTTTTGGAGTTAGTAACTAGAATCCTGTTAACTCATGAGCTTAGATCAGTAAATTAAAATCTACAAGTAGTCCTTGTAACCAGCAGCATGGTTATGAAATGAAATTGCAACAATGTGTATGTTCTTACTTCAGCTTTCCTTTGCTTTACAGACCTGCAAAAGTTGTAAATAAAACAACTGGTTGCAAAGTTTCTTTTTCATCACCATTATAAATACAGACGGTTAAGTCAACTGCTAAACAAGGACTACTTTTGTTTAGATTACTCAACTAAGCTATACTTTTTCACCCTTCATACCTTTTTCATTGTATTTGTTTTCCAAGGTAATCACAAAGCTCTCTACATTTGAGTCTCATGACTGTTCTCCAAAGGAATTAATAATACCTATGCCAGATGTATTATCAACAAGAAAAACAAGCAAACAGGATTCACCAGCTCCAATACAAAAAAAGAAAATGCTGGTGAGTTTGTTCTTTCTGTGTTACATTAACTTGCTTGTGAGCTATATGAATATTGCTGGATAGGTATGCTCACATTTATTTCTTAGATAAAATTTGGAATGGAAGAAAATCTGTGGGATTTTATTTATTTTTTTGGTACTTCCTACAGGATACTCTGCCCTCTAAGAAAAATACAAAAAAGAGTCAGATTCCTGTGCAGCTTGATTTGGGGGATATGCTGGCAGTTTTGGAAGAAAAACAGCATGCAGAAAAATTAAAGCAATCATTTAAACCTGTGGTACTTTCAGGTATACTTTTGATATTGTTTCTCTAGATGATGACATTCAAATCTATCGCTCTTTTTCTATTTTGTACTTCATATCTTCTAAGGTGAGATAATTATTGAAAGATTTCAATAGAAGGAATAGAAAGAAATAATTCAGAGAAAGGATATTATTTTATTACCTGTTCACAGCCATGTGAAGTCAAAGCTACCAGTTCTTTAGCTGATGTTGACTGTCATATGCATCAATTTTTTCCATGTAATTCTTTTTCTTGCCAGTAATTTGTCCTTATTTTTATTATATTATTTTAATATTTGTTTTGTTTTCCTGTACCTAAGTTTCAATTTTTAATTTGCATCAATGCTTGTTCTTGGCTGTCTTTTATGTAACCAGCCAATGCGTGCTGTTCTTCTTCAATAATTTGTTTGATTTGAATTAAACTTGCTTCCATTCTGTGGGGCAGGTAAAATCTATCAAAACCACTATGTGGATTTAATGCATAATTCGTTAGCTTTAATGTTTTTCAGTCTAAATGGTCCACTTTTATATCATAGGCAAGGCCCAAGTATTTCCACCATTCAAATAAATAATAATAAATTATGATGATCACCATTAGATTGACAGGGTTAAACACTGAATGGATATAAAAGATAAAGCTGCTCTTAATCCACAAAAGTTTGTGAGAGCAGTCTGAATATTTGCAATAAATGTGGTCAGACTTTGTTCATAGATCTGAAATGCAAGGTGGTAATGACTTCACTGAATTTCAGTGAAGAGTTTCATGACTTCTTAAATGTCATTTAAACATTTAGCGTTAAACACCAAGCTGGTTTTATTTGCAGTAATAAGGTAAGACTGACCATGAACACTTGCTGGAACAATCTGCAGTTGAGTGGAAGATGGTGCGAGAGAGAGAGAGCAAATCAGAGTATGTTATCATTTTAAAAAATAGTGATATAAAAAACTAATTACTTTTAGTTAAAATTGGTAGGAATGGGGCAGAAAAATTGGTAACAGTTTACTTTTCAAAAACTACCATGTTCCCAAGAGAAGGCTTGTGTAATATATTACTACACAAAAAAAGGAAGATGTTCTGTTATACATTCTTGAGTTCATGTGATGAATTCACTGCTGAACCTTAATTACACTCAAATGTAAGTAATGGCTTCAGATGTAAAGCCTCCATCAGATTATATTTGCATATTTATATTTGTTTCAGTTGGTGGTGGAGTAACATTGCCCTTAAAGGAATCTCCCAGAGTGACAAAAACTTTGCAGTCAGTTCAGAAAAATACTCCACACAACCCCTTGGACTCTAGTTCTCCATTGGTCAAGAAGGGGAAGCAGAAAGAAGTCCCAAAGCCAAAGAAGCCAACATCACTAAAAAAGGTACATTGATCTAACCACCCCAAGTACAATATTGTATAACTGTTGCTCCTTTGCCCTACCAACATTTCTCAACTGTGACAATTTGAAGATGTGTGAGCTTCAACTCCCAGAATTCCCCAGGCTGGCTGGACAATTCTGGCAATTGAAGTTAACATCTTAAAACTGCCTTAGTTGCGAAACACTGCTATAGATGCACTGGCCTTCTTTAATGTTTAATACATATGAAATTCTTCAGACTGTTGCTATAAGAAACATATTAAGGACTAATACATTAATCCTTAGGAATGTGGGTAAGATAGAATTTGAGTGAATTCACTGTTAAGGTAGAATTCCTGAAAAGAGTTTTTTGGGGACAGGCTGTTGAAATGATCAGGAATATCAAATGTATAGCTAACCTATTTTGACACACCAACATAACATTAGTATCCTCCTGTGACCTACCTTTTAAATTAACATTAAAAAGATGCTTCTTCATGTTAGTAAAATAGTACTGAAACTTTATTAAGAACACACAATAGTAAAGAAAGCACAGAGGGGTGTTAGTTTTTTTTTTTAATGAGCCTCAAAAAAAAAAGTATGAACAAAGACATGATGGGAACACTTGATAGGAAGACATGATGGGAAGACTAAGACCAAATGGTAAACAGGTACTAGAAGCAAGACTAGCCTTGAAAGAAATTGAATGAGGCTTGCTTAGTGCCTGTTCAAAATCCAATCCAAATAGTACTCTTTCTGAATATTCATGCACCTAAAAGGCTGCATGTCAGATTCTTTTCTGCATTCTGGAAGATTTCATTCTCAACTTAGATTCCTCTGTTTCTTTCTTCCCAGTTAGTCATGGCTCCCAAGACAATTTCACAGAGGAAGGGAAAAAACATCTAGCTAATTTCTCCCATGCTTTTTAGCTGCCAGGAGAGAGGTGGTGTTCTTCCTCAGGGATTTTGGACACGTGTCCCTCTAGATTTTTGGCCAATGGTGGGTCAACATGAATAAAATTTGATCTAATGAGAATCTCTGGAAGCCTACTTTACTAAAGGCATTCATTTTAACCCATCCCATTGAGTACATGGAACAGGAATTCAGTATTTCCACATATTTAAAATCTATTCACTTTCCCTACTACCTTTCATGGAAAGTCAGACAAAAAGGATCCTAAAGTAGTTAAATTTTGCCTGCCAACATTTCAGGAACCAGTTAACCTTATTTGGAAGGAGCCTAATGCAAGTATTTTCTTTTTAAGATTATTTTGAAGGAGAGAGAACAGCGAAAACAGCAATACATTTTAGAACAGATGGCTATACCGAAGAAAGCTGATGTTGTTGAGCAGAATGCAGAATCTGTTCCTGATGACGAACAATTTTGTAAAGCCCCCAGAGAAGGTACAGGGTTCATCGGCAACCGGTTCAGGTCCAGGTGCTTGTAGGAAATGGTTTTTTTTTAAAAAAAATATGTTAATAATTGGTGTGGCTTGTTTGTAATACAGCTGCTACTGCACATAAGCTTAGACATTGCTTTTTCCTACAGCGTGCCCAAAGAATCTTGTTTAAAAATTCTCATCTTCCTTTTGCAGATATAATTGCCACCTTTGAGCCTTTTGTAGATAGTTAAAAACTGCAGTGGACAAGGTTGGTCTTCATTGCACCAGGCTTATACCTTAAATTGGCATCTAGGATTGCAGGGTTTTCTACATGCAAAAGGCACCGTTCAATGTAAAACAGGAAAAGGAAAGAATTAGTTTCTCTTATAACCTAAAGGGCTTGAAAATGCGGAGAAGAGATATTCTTTCTATTTTATGCTCTAATCAAAGTTTAAATGTAACTATAACTTCAAGTGTAAATGTAATAATAGCTATAACTTAGTTATAGTTACATTTAAAATTAGTTATATATTTAAAATCTATAACTGTACCCACACACATATATATTTATCATTGTATAAATTTAGTATATATGTGTGTATCACTTATTCAATCCATTCTCAAGCAATATATAAAGTTTAACAATAAATTAAATATAACATGCAATGAAAACATAGAATAAAGTAAAATAAGAAAATTTGAGTAATGGTGTTTTGAATATTGCATGGTGATCGTTCACTTTGGCTTTAGACAAATGGTTGAGCCCTCTCCTACTTGGTGTTGATTTTAACTCACAGATAGACCTCGACTTACAACAGTTTGTTTAGTGACAGTCCAAAGTTACAACAGCATTGAAAAAAGTGACATGACCGTTTTTCATAGTTACGATCTTTGCAGCATCTCCATGATTATGTGATCAAAATTCAGATGCTTGGCAACTGGTTCTTATTTATGACCATTGCTGTGTCCCGAGGTCTCGTGATCCCCTTTTGGGACCTTCTGACAAATAAAGCCAGTGGGGAAGCCGGATTCACTTAACAATTGGATTACTGACCTATCAACTGCAGTGATTCACTTAGCAATCTGGGGCAAGAAAGCTTGTAAAATGGGCAAAACTCATACAAATGTCTCACTTAACAACATAAATTTTTTGTTCCATTATGGTTGTAAGTCAAGGACTAACTGTAGTTATAAATACGAAACATATTGCCTTTGAAGGATGGTGATGTGATTATTTTAAATGTTAACTATTTGCTTTACGTACAAAGATTGCTTAAACTTTAAATGGAAATATATAAGATGTCCTGTTCCATGGTTTTCCTTTCTGTAATCTCTCCTCCTTATGTGGCCTGTCCCTTTTCATGACAGTTTCACTTTAATCATTCCTTAATAGATTTAACTGGCCTAAATTAGTCAATAGTACTTCTAAGGCTTCTGATCTATTAAAATAATAATAATAACCATTTGTGTGTACAACTTCCTTTTACTTAGAAGTTGTAAAAGAAGTTGCAGAGGAGCCAGTATTTCTGACGCAAAGTAGTTCAGAAGTGGACTTGAGATGTACAGAATCCAGTGGCTCCTTGCAAAACTCCATTGCTTCATCGCAGTTGAAACCCAGCTTTCCCAAAATCCACAGCCGAAGATTTAGAGAGTAAGTACATTGGTATCAGTCATTCAAACATTGCTTCTGTTATGGGCCCTGGGAGGTCTGTGAAAGTGAGATGCCTGATGATAGTTTTGGCCCAAAGCTACAATCTGAATAGAATCCTTACAAGGCTTACAAGTTCAGATGTTCAGCTGAATATGTAAAAACTGTCAAACTGGATAGAGTATGAAGATATCATTTCTTATTCTCCCCAACTTGGGTAACATAAACATTTGAAGGGAAGCTCTACTCATACTGATCTGAATTGTTAGTACAGATTCCCATGCAGTGCAAAATTATGTTTTTTTCACTCATGTTCAAATAAGTAATTTTGACTTGAGATTTCCAACCAAACCTCTGAAGATCAGAAAGGGATGGAGCTACCTCTGTGGCCCTCTTCTGAATCCAATTTAACTTCCTCCATTTATTCAGTTACATGCTGGATTAGTAAAATTCTGGAATGACCTTAATTGTGACCAAATTACATTTTAGGGTGGAATGGTGGATTCACACTTTTGAATAAGCTTGACCACTGGAAAGTTTTGGTTCATCAAAGAAGAAATTGACATTTTTGAACTCTCTTATGTACTGTTTGGTTCAGGTGATGTTAATTAGGTGTCAATTGGGTTCAGCCCCTGGTATAAGTAGGAACAAATATATTCCATCTTGACTTGTGCCTGATAACAATCCATAGCTTTTCCAAAGACACTCCAGCAACTTCCTTAACACTATCCTTCCATCTAATTAGTATTTGCTCCTTTTTCTACTTTGTTCAGTGTTGCCAAATGTAGGGATTTTTTCCTCCCCCCCGTAGTCCATCATATCACATGTCCAAAGTATTCTATGCTGATAATTGTTTCAAGGGAGACATTAGACTTTATTTAGTCCAAAACTGCTTGGTTCTTTTTGTAGTCCACAGCATTTTTAAAATTGTCTCCAAATCTGTAACCCTCATTATTTCATTCTACCTTAATGTCCGTGATTAATTGCTCTACATTTCTGTTAAAAAAAAAATCCCATGTTTATATCTTTATTTCCCGTGATGTCAGTTTGCCATTGCCATCCTGCTAAAGTTAATCTGCTCTTTATTTCTGTAGTATTCTGTCCATCTTTATTTTTGACCCCAAAACTCCAAAATTATCTACCATCTTCAGTTCTTTCAGCTTTTAGTTGAATGTTCACAATGTATATGGCTTGATATGTCCTTTGTTTTCTTATTGTTTTAACATTAACCCATAATTTTTTCACTTCTAATTTTTATTTCAATGTTGTTTTGAGTCCAGAACAAGCCATCACATTCTGGATGTTCTGCCAAATAGTTTTAAGCCAGGTACAATTTGATAGAACTGAAATGAGAAATACTTTAGTTATTCCAAGCTTCAAGCAAAATAAAATATGGATGGGGTGAGTAAGACAAGGCTGTTATTTCTCCCCCATTAGCATATTCCCTCAGCATGCCTACCACATGGTCATCCCAAGGCCTTCTTCTTTTTTCAGCTACCAGTGTTGTTAGGTTTTTTTCCCCCTATTCTCCCATTTCTGTAGAACTACTTCAACCTGGAACAGTAACTTTCAATTGGTGCCTATTTATGCACCCAAGTAGCTGAAATATGTATGTATCTATTAATCTGATTCAAAACCATCTATTGTTGTGTGCCTCTCTATTAAGTAAGGTGTTCTTATAAAGTCTCCTTACTTTTGGTGAATGAAGTAAGCATTTTATGCACATATCAAATTTTCAAACTTCCCAGTTTGATTCCAACTGTCTAGCTTTCTGTTCTTATATAGATTGTCTGTCTGGTTTAAAATGAACAATGTGCATCCTTTTCATATTGCTTTCCAATTCTGAACAACCTTTTTTCCCCATATGTAGTTCTTACAGTAGCTTCTTGATCATTTTAAAGGTTCATCTAAGGAATAATTGGATGTTCTGGCATAACAATTACATATTTCACATTCTGGCAAGACTAGTCATAGCTGTACTGTGATGAAGCAAAATATCTTAAATTATCTAACTTTACTATCTGCCCCATTTTAGCTATCTGAACTCATGTCCTCTTCCCTTTTCTGAAATCTGTCTTTTGATATGGCATTTTTCTCTCCACAAATCTCCAGATCCTCTTTGTAAGATCTTAAGCAAAATTTTGATTATGTGAGAAATTAAGGAAGTGATTCCATTATTTCTATGCAATTATATTTTCCAATCTCTGGGCCTCAGAGTGTTGTTCTGTGTATGAAGTAAAACTCTTAGTATCTTATCTGTTTCTTCTGTAGCTTTAAACAATTCAATAGGAATTTCATCTATGCTTGGTGCTATTCCTTTTGACAGCTGGTTTAATGTCTCTTGTCCTTCACTTCTAGGAAAGTCAGTTCCTGAATATATTCCTCTGCAAGAAATGTTTCTATTATTCTGCAATCCTGTTTGTAAAAAAGATTTGAGTATTATCTTTTCAACTTCTATTAACTTCATTTGCTTCTATCCAATTTCTTCCATGTTTCTTCCTAAGAAGCCCTAACTTGGCTGAAACCTCCCATGATTTTTGTGATCTTTCTAAGGCTATCTCTACTTTTTCATTTCTCGGGTTTTTTAAAATTATTTTCTTTTTTACATTATTGAACTATCTAATCCTTTCCTGCTTGATGTTGAAAGCCTGTGTTGATTTATAATAAATCTTTCTTATTGCCAGAGGCTTTAGCTTTCATCCTTTGTCTTTTCCCAGCTATCATGATGCTTGATCTGCACGTCATTTGAATAATTTCTTCTTTGAAATGTTTGAATTTTACAGGGTCTCTTATCTCTTCTGATCTCTCTTCAGGTTCTCTTTCACATAAGGGTATCTATTCCCTCGACTGAGCTTAATTTCTGTATGTATTTCTCCCAGTAGAACTTTCTTAGCATTTGTTTAACTTTTAAAGTTTAACTTTTATATTTGACATCAATAATTCATGATCTGTTCCACGATCTTCACGTGGAAGTGAAGTGAATCTTCACCTGGCTGAACAAGTTATACTTTTTTGATCATCTTGTTTCCTGTTATAAAGGAGATCTTATTCTGAGATTGTACATTCAGTGATTTCCATTTTGCTTATGGTGCCACGTGAATATTCCATAGCATATTTTGGTTTACTATTCCAAATATTGAATGTCAAAAATCTAACTTATTTGTATGTATGCATATTTGATTAGAATGCATAAGAAAGAAGGTAGAGTCAGGCATTTGCTAAAATACTAAAACAATTGATTCTTTCTTTAGCTACTGTACCCAAGTGCTTAGTAAAGAGGTTGATAGCTGCGTTACAGATCTCCTAAAAGAGTTGGTTCATTTCCAAGACCGCCTGTATCAGAAAGACCCTGTGAAGGCCAAGACGAAACGCAGAGTCGTTATGGGACTCAGAGAAGTATTGAAACACCTGAAGCTGAAGAAGTTGAAATGTGTCATCATTTCTCCAAATTGTGAAAAAATTCAGTCAAAAGGTAATTTTTTTTACCTTAAAAACATATTTACGTAAAACAAACAGATGACTTTTGTGATGGAGTTTAGTGGGACATTGGGAAAATCCCTCAAGACATAAATGAAGAGAAATTAGTTTACTCTGTCAGCAAAATTCTTTTAACGTTCATTTTTTAAAAATTTTTAATTTTTTGTTTTTTAATCACAGGTGGGTTGGATGAGACTCTGCATCTCATAATTGATACTGCATGTGAACAGAATATTCCATTTGTTTTTGCTCTCAATCGCAAAGCTCTAGGGCACTGTGTGAATAAATTAGTGCCTGTTAGTGTGGTGGGAATATTCAGCTACGATGGTGCTCAGGTGAGTTGTGCTATAGCCACTGTTTGCCCTCTTTGGTTAGTATAGATTTGAATATCAGCTTTTAAAAGTCTTAATTAGTAGTATTATAACAGTTACTGCCAGCATTTAAAAAGATGCCAATCAATGCTCCAGGGTATTTTCCTATGTCCTTAAGTAACTTGGTGCTATTCCAAGTTTTAGAGCAATGCAGAATGGTTTGTTCATGATTATTTCTACAGTAGTAACCATGTTGCCACCCAGCAACTATGTCAATTTTATGTAGTTATCTATATGTTCAGTACAGATGTCTGCAAAAAGACATGTTTTTGTGTGCATGGCTACAGGTAACTTTTATTAGATTTATATGCTGATCATCTCACTCTCAGAAGCAACTTTTTTCAAATAAAAGTTGATTTTCATTGAGTCAGAGCTCTGCACTGAATACATGGATTGCTTAGCAAGCTGGACTCATTGCAGTGAGAAGATGGTTTTGTCTCAAATGTGTATATGTCAGATTCTCCTTTGTAATAATTACTGAGTAACATGAAGAAAAATATACTTATGTTTGAAACTTGAGCAAATTATTTTTTCTTTGCTTTCCTGCACACTCCTACAGAAATGCCGTTTTGGCTGTAGCATAATATTATTTCTAACTTGTTTGAAGAAAGAAATCGCTGCACTTTCACCATGCCCCAGTTACTCCATATAATTCAGAACATAGTATATTACAACTGTAAACAAGTTGTACTGTGTAGAAACTTATTAAAGAACAGATAAGTGATTAATCCAAGGCCCTTTATCAGAGAAGATATACATATTTCCCAACTACCCTATGTCACAAAATTAGTGAGGGGAAAACTAATTTTCCATTTAATCACCTTCCCAGTATTTCAGTATCCAACAGTAATTGCAGTTGTTGGTTTATTAGCATCAGTCCATTCCCTTATATTGGTGCAGCATCTAGGGCTGTTGGTCAAGATGATAACATCTTTTGCTGCCTAGTTTAATTTTAGATTCCTAAATGATTGACTTATTAAAACCATTGGTATGATGAGTTGCCCTACATTCTTATAAATAAGACCCCATTTGTAAATACAGTGCAAGTTACTGATGAATCAAGAAGCTTCATGGCTTCTGAATTCCTAAAACGGACTTTCCCTAAAACAAAAATAAGCAAACTGGACTTATTTATCTGTACTTATCTTACTTATCTGTATCATGCCCAGTTCATGTAAATAGAGTTAGTTTTCACATATAATTAGGATCTTGGCCACAGAGATGTACGGAGGCACTATAATATGAAATGAATTTTTACATAGGTATCACTGCAGTTTTTACTCAACAGGTTTTTTGTTTCAATGTGCTGCACTTGTAGATTCTGATTGCTAGCAAATTTTATATAGTTACTAGGTATTCTCTATAGTTAGATAGGTTTATTTTATTGTCATTGCACCTTGTACAACTAAATTAAATGTCATCTTCAGTGTACATCATACATAAGAAAACTATAAAAATAAAACAAAAATCCTTCACATTCTATACAATTGAATTGAAAACCCCTGATACTACATTAGTATTACACTATACAGTAGAGTTCAATATAGTTCCTGCTCTGGGATAGAAACTGTTTTTCAGCCTATTTGTCCTTGTTTTTATTGTCCTGTATCGTCTCCCAGATGGTAATAGTTCAAAATTCCCCATTCTTATAAATTAGGACCACTTTCACAAAATGGTGGAATTAACAATGGAAGCAAGGCTGGCGTACAAGGAGATGATTTCAGCTTTAGAGAAGGAGTCAAGTGAAGAAGTAAAACAAGGTGACTGTGCACTCCAAACCCATCAGAAAGAGAATTATGCGCTTGATAATGGTATAGTGCCCCTTCAAGAATCTGAAGAGGACGCCCCAAATTACAGTGAGTTTTCAGGGTCTTTGTTTAAAATACATTAATTCTTTTTGTTTCATCTGTATATTTTCACCTTTAAGGTAAACAGTTTTTATAATAGCAAAGATACCACAATTCAGTGATTACAGAATATTCTAGATGACTCGAGAATGTTCTGTTCCCCCACTACAACTATGCCATTCTTGGAGTAATTCATAATTTTCAAAAGTAAATTTTTTAAACCAGAAGCAGTTTTAGGAGTTTCAGACATTGAGTTCCAGGGGAACAGAACATTCTGGAATATTCTTCAGTTGCAGATTTGCCCATTACTTTGTTATAGCTGAATATGTCATTTAATTTGTCAAATCTTGATTATGTTAATCTAGGTTTGTTAATCCTTCCTGCAGTTTGTGCTTCAGTCTTTAGAGTGGAATCAGTGACTGCCTTTAAACCAGTCTTACCTTGAGACTTCTACAGCAGAATAACTAAAGTAGTGTAATATCAAAAAATAAATACAGATAATCCTTGAGGTGCAACAGGCCATTTAATGAACATTCAAAGTTACAACATCCCAAAAGTTAAATACAAATTGGTTACAAAGTTATAAATTCTGCAGCTCCCTCATGGTCATTCGCCCTTATCACTGACCGCAGAGATGCTGCAGCATACCCACCCACCCACCTATTTCCCTCTCATCCTGCCCATCGAGATCCTCAGAGGCACTGGGCCTACTTTACCAACATACTGGATTCCATGCACTCCTCCCCACCCATTTCCCTGTCACCATTCACTTACCTTTTAACGAGCTCAGGAAGTCAGGGTAGAGAAGGCCCCTCCCTCATTGGGCCAAGTGGCACAATCAAGAAGAAGAAATGCAGTCACATTTGCTTCTGTTGCAATCCTTTCCAGCCAGCATACACCGCTGCGATTTCTTCTTAGTTTCTTCTTAGTTCTGCCAGATTTACACTGGCTGGAGAGGAAAGGCTTGCAAGGAATCAAAAATAGGCACAATTTCTTCTTAGCTTTACGCTACTCTTACACTGGTAGAGCAAAGTAGAAATCCCATCTCATTTGCTTCTATGGCAATCCTTTCCTTCCCCAGCCAGGGTTAATCACTACTGATTTAGGCTGGTGGGGTGGAAAGGCTTGCAAGGAACCAAAATAGGCATGATTTCTCCTTCGTACCACTAATATAAAGCTACGCTGGCAGAGGTAAGAAGAAACTGTAGTGGTTTATGTTATGTTTATGCTAACATAGATGACCTGCATGCTTTCTTACATAGCTTTTAAAATGATAATTAAAAATATCAATTATTTTAGCCAAACTGTTATTTAGCATATGTTCGGTCTATGTTCTTAATAAATGAAAACTTTCCATTTCCTAAAAAAAAAATCTTATGGTTTCCTTCATAAAAAAGTTATCATTTTATTTATGAATGATTGTGCACATTTTTGTGAAACTGGAGCTGAATACAAAGCTACAAGATTTGAGTAGGAAATAGTTACGAGTTAGCTACTTTGGGGGACCATTTTTCCAATTTAAGTATTCTCAAAAGTATAGTAAAACTACATTGCATTCATATACCGTTTATGTTATAGCATTTGTAAGAACTATAGTCTGTAACTGTTGTGAAAATGTCTTTGCCCAGAGGAAAATCTTTTTGTGTTTTGTTTGTTTGTTTGTACCTCTAGTTAAGATCTGGAAGCAAAAGCTTGAAGAGGAGTATAATCCTTATATCCTGGAGCTGGAAAAACTGTCAACCACTGACATGTTGCCCTTGGGTGTTGAGGAGCCTCAGTAAATCAAGACTACCTTCTTTGGCATTATTGACTTTTACTTTATGTGTGTGTCTGAGTGTATATAGACGTGTAAATAGTGAATTACCTAAATTTAATTATCTGTAATATAGGATAGAAAACCCACAGTTGAATTTCTGAGATAATTTAATGCCAAAGAATTCAGAGCTGTTCAATAACTTCCCTCCGAGGGCGGATTCAGTGAAAGCGCTTGGCTCATCCAAATGGAATACGGATTGAGACAGGAATTGAATCGGGTTTGTTTGTCTTTTCATATAGCAATATTGTAGAGAAAGACCTTTAGTCTCTGCTCCGTATAAGCACAGAGTCTCCAATCACTGTTCTCATGATTTCCTATAATTATGTCACTGGATTGATACAAATGAACTGAATGAACTGAATTAAGCTTGTAAGTGGTTTCTTTTTCTCTTTATGATAGAATACCCAACTCTGCATAAATAATAATATGAAATGGGAAAAAAGAAAAGGGAACACTATTGATTTTCTCTGAGACATTATTGTAAATATATATATAAAATATACTAATATATAATGATTCCAATTAGACATAGGCAAATTAGAAAAACAAAAATGCACTACTGTCAGCTGGTTTATTTTGTGATGGAGCCATTTGGTGTAGGTCATGGGTGTGTAATTAAAAGATGGTAGAAACGAAGTGGAATTATTAAATACATAGAAAATAATCATTAATTTATTGGTACTGTATTTTCCTATTCTGTCCCGTTCTACAGCTTGATATTAACTTTAGAGGGGCTCTGTACAGCCCTGGAACTGACAGATATATTTGTTGCAAATAACCTGATTGGGATCCTCTCAGCTGTCAACTAAAATCTCCAGCAGTTTATTAAATATTGGGGGTAGATTATAGTCATGTATGGCATGGTGGCCTAGTGGTAAAGATGCTCACCTCCCAATCATAGGTAGCGTCAGATATTTCCTAGGCGCAAAGAAAATCTGCTGTAAACTTTATGTGGTGTTAGGAAGGGGATCCAACCAGTAAAATGCTCGGCTCCATTGGCCCAACTCTATCCCAAATTAAGGGATTACAGAGACGTAAAAGGAAGTTTGGTGGTAGATTATAATCACAGATAACAGAAAATGTTCACCATAAAATAGCTTGCATTTTGCATACAAAGTAATTTCTCTGTTAATTGCTATCTTTAGAAAGCTAGCAGGATTCTATGGTGCAGAAAGTGGCAGCAGCGCAAAACGAGAAGCAGGCAATGTGAAATGGCTGAGTTTACTAAGCATTCTTTTCTGCGGTTTTGCTCATATACCTATGCTAATGGTGCAGTTTAGCCCAACAGAGAAAAATTGTGAAGGGTCTTTGTGTCCTAGGACAGCAGTCCCCAACCTTTCTGGCTTGGCGATCTGGCAGTGGGAGGGAGAGAGGGGAGTTCCCTGTGACTGGTAGGTGACCAGGTGCAAGCGCACTCAGCGTCATTTGTGCGAGCACAAGGGGAGTTTTGCACACATATACATGCTCACTCACCACTTGCAAGGCCCGGTTCCAAACAGGCCAGGGCCCGGTAGTGGGCTGCAGCCTGGGAGTTGGAGACTCCTGTCCTAGGATGTAAAACAAAAAAATCCAGTCCTTTGTATTAACTTTCCAGAACCCAAATAAACGTAGAAGCTGAAGAGAGGTTAGCCTGATCTATCAGCACAACTTTTCTCTCTCCAATGGATCCGGAGATCTTGTTTCAGCCAGAAGAACCAACTGTTGTGTGGGAGTTTGACACCTCTGCTCAGAACGCTTAGCCATTCTTATTTTTACCGCAGTGATATGGATGATTATTCCATTTTGGACCATTTTATGATAAGCTTTCCAACATTTCTGTGTCTCAAGACAACTGAATAATTGTACAACTACTCTGTGTGTGTGTGTGTGTGTGTGTGTATATATATATGGCATTCAGCTTTGTTCAGGTATTTTCCCACGTCATAGCAGTTGTGCTTTTAAAGTTGTAGCGACGTTTCAGCAGAATCTCATCTGCCATCATCAGGCTTCTGTATAGTGTTCATCTGTGAGTCAG